TTTTTATTTTTGATTGCTTTTTTTCTTCGCTTCGATAATTAGAAATCAAACATGATGCTCAACAAAAAGGTAAAATAATTTCAAATGAAAATTAATCTTTAATTAAATTCGATCTTCTTAGCTGATGAGTTTAAAGCTCATAGTGACGTATATACATCAACAACAGGTACTGCTCATAATGTATCAGCATCACATGATTTTAATGCACCTCATGGACATACAATACCGACTAAAATTGAAGTTAAAACATCAGATTCACAAAAACCTTCAATTATTTAAAACATTTCTATTTCTTGATAATTTTTATGTACAGTATCCTATTTTGGTTTATATATATTTATTCTATTGTAATGTTTATTGATTTCATTAGACTGTTATATATATATTCTAGCAAATATATTTAAATTATAAAGGCTTCAGTCATTGTGCTAATTTAAATAAGATAAATCGAATATTCATACTCAATATAAGAACAACAATATTCTTTTTTTTAATATTGTTTTTGTCCGAATACAAAGATTTATTAAATGAATTTTTTTATTGATAGAAATTCATGTCATCTATAATAAAATATTTTTCTTTGTATGATGAAATAAGCATTTATGATACGAGAGGTTTTTAAACTTGGATCGAACCAATGATATGTTTGGAGAAATACGAATATTAATAAACGGTTAAATCAATTGGGAACTTATCCGAACTGAAAAAATAGAGTCCTAAGCGGCATTATTATTAGTTTGTTATCGAACTATAAACATTTTTTTATTGTTAGAAACAGTATTTTTTTTTAATGATTATTTTTTATTTAGTAATAATCTATTTTCGAATTATTTCAATTCACACTTAACATGCTTAGTATTTTCTTATACTTTGAATTAAACGGTCACATTACTAACGATTGATGATAATCAATGGATGTTATAAACATACTTTATGACATGTCTCTAAGCTGTCAGACTTCGAGCTAATGTTTTGTTTATATAATGTCAATAATAGGAATGAGTAATTCCGGACAGGAATCGTTATTAACAATTATGATCCCAAAAGAAATCTGCATTTCCGATTCTTTTAAACGTGAATGATTTAGAATCGGAAAATTTTCTATGGAAAATGACGCACGTCTTTCTTTGCTTTTTAACAAATAGGTAAATTAGTGATTCAGAAATATATGTAAACAATTATAAAAGACATATCTAACTTTGTTTAACATAAAACGTGTTAAATTCAATGATATATATAAGTAATTTACAATTACTTTTTAATCCAGACGTGAATGATTTCAATCCCTCATATAGCTGAAATTTTCTTCTTCAGCTTTTATACTTTGATTCGGCTCAAAAAAAATTTCAATATTAAATTTAAAAGAAAACTTCATTTCGTATCAATCGAGAATTCTTATTATTTAACAATATTAAAATCTGTAAGAATCAAATCCTATTGGTAAGATTATTATAAAATGCAATAATTCATATCATAGAATATAAAACAATTCTTTACATGTTGAGAACTTCTCCAAAGCAAAAAAAAAAAGAAAGACTTTCTTACCCGCTCCACTAGGATATTCATCAAATTGTGGACCCATCAGTGACGTATTATCATCATCTGTTCTATTACTACCTAAATCAAATGAAATAAAACTAAGAAAAAAACTCTCATTGATTCTTTGAATGCTAACTTCCTCGATATTGCTGTTGACTTGGAAGATATTTTGATCGACATTCATTTGATTTTGCGACAAGATCTTCCTTTAAATGTAAAAAGAAAAAGTTACTGATACTTTAAATTAAACAAATTCCATAATTTACATCTCGTAGTGTTAAAGTTATTTTTAAATTTTGACAAAAACTTTGTGCAAATTCAGGATACATATCAATAACTTCAAGTAAATCATCTCGTAAAATTTTATGTAAATCACAATATGTCAATGCACGAACATTAAATGCAGATTTTCCTGGTTCACTATATAACACAGGATTTTCTCCAAGAATATCATCTTTACCTTAACAATAAATAAATAAATAAATAAATAGATAAAAAATTACAAAATTAAATATACTTAGAATAGCAACAACTTTATCATCTTTTAATATTTCAATTGAACCACGTGAAATGAAATATAACGATGTTAATATATCTCCACGATGTGTTATTATATCACCTGGTGGTGCATGTGTTGTTTTAAATTTCATTGAAAATGTTCGTAAACAACCTTCACTAGCATCTAAAACAAATAATCAAATAAATAAGAAAAAAAGAAAAATGAAAAATATTGATTAACCTTTAAATGCAGGACAATTTTTAAGTAGTTGACTATTTAAATGAAGACAAATATCAGCTTGTAAACATTCAGGAAAACCTTTCAGCACCATATTCATGTCAATACCACTAGAACAATTAAGCAATAACAAAAAAAACATAGATTCAACAAACAAAAATAGAATATTATCTGTTACTTTGTATAATTCCATGCATGATTAAAATAATCTTCTAATCGTTGTCGAAGTGGATTTGGAATTTGATGAAAGCGAATAAACTCTTTTACCCTATATTTAGAATGATATTATGGAGATAATGAAATTATTATTTAATATATATATATATAAATCTACCTCAACATTTGTATTTGATAACGAGCTGTGCCCGAATAAAGTCTCTGAATAATAGCACTGACATTACCAAATATACTGGCATACATTAATGCTAAAAGAAGAAAACAAATTTATACAATCCAACAATACTTTATATAAAGATATACATAAAGCAACAACAATCGCATGCTTTAAAAAAGATTTTCATGCGTTTCTCACATCCGATTAACATAATACAAACGGAAAAAATCTTTTCCGAATCGGTATTAGGACTAACCTGTGTATATACATAAACGAAAAGGAAAATTTATATATTCATACAGTAAAAATCTCTCTCTTTCTCGCTCTATTTCTTTCTTACATTGCCAAATCCGACTGTTGTTAAAGATGAAAACGTAAAATAAAGAGCAGTGATATATTGTGAACGAAGATTAGGTCCGCCATGACATATTTCTTTACTTAAAGTTGTTTTATTATAATTCAAAATTGATGAACAATTATATGGTTGACCAGATATACGTGCTAATTCATCAAGCCATGTTATGCGTGATCCTAAAACAATAAGCTAAGCGAACACCAAAACAACACAACATTGACATAAAATAAGAGCCCAACTAAAGCACAAGAAAAAGAAAACAATAAACTCACATCCTACGAGCATGATTATTATTGAAAAACCCTTTTCACTATTCGTATTTGGACTATAGGAAGATTAAATTTAAGAAGAAAAATATCTTCGGATAGAATATTTAGCGAACCTCACGTTGCCAAAACCGACTGATGTAAGAGAAGAAAAAGTAAAATAAAGTGCTGTTATATATTTTGATGTTTTTGTTGGACCAGATGTTGGATCGGAATCATTATAATATTGATGTGTATGATTAGCTAATTCAGCTAACCAGCCAATCAATCTTTCATTGCCTAAGATAAAATAGGTGACATATGCTTTTTTTCTTAATATTCTATCTAATCTTTTTCAAATAGAAGAGTTTTCGAAGAAGAAAATTAATGATTATTCATTGAAATATTTTTCCAAGGAATAAAGATAAGAAGGATTAAATCAAATTATCTTATCAATAAGCCTATCATCGTAGAATCTGACAGTCATTAACATGTTAATCATAAGAGGAAAATTTATAGGGATATAACAATGCAAAAAATAAAAGCATTATGAAAAAAGCGAATTTTCTCATACAAGTGACAAACTTTCGAAATAATCACATATTTTCTTATTAGTTGCCCATGTATTGGTTTAGATAAAGGAGAAATTTTCTTATATTGTCTCTTAACTATTCCAAAAAGAAAATTTGAAAAAAAAAAATTCAAAGAATAAGTTGAATCAAAACGTGTCACATCACAATATTTTGTAGTAGATATTATTGAATAGTTTATTCAAAGTATTTGACAAAAATATTGATTTACTCTAAAACTGAATTCATAGTTGTAAAATGTCGTATATATTAGAGATATGTAGGATCAAGTTTTCTTTGGGATATTGATAAAATATGCTCTAACACACTCTGAAGACCATTTTACTTGAAATATATATATCCATCAACAGAGTTTGAAATCCTGAGTTCACAAGATTTCATTCTGATCCAAAATCTCAACAAAATAAATGTTTAAAACATGAAGTTAAATGTAGCTCTGTTACATATTTTGAACTGATTAGAGATTCGTCAATCATTTTTGGTTCAAAATAGAATTCGTTCAACTTAGAATCTACAGCTCTATTGACTGATATAATCCTCAAGAAACAAAAACTCTCAGAATGTATTTTTCTGATAGCCAATTTTATTGGTTTCGGTCTAGAGAAAACGATTCCAGGCTTTATTTCTTTGTTCATTTTTTAATTTTTTTTTTCGTCGATGATTAAGACTTCTTTGGATCATCTCTGTTGAATCATGTTCTGATTCATATGACTTAAAAGATAATTTGCTTAATTTCATAGTATATTGAACTCTTCGTCATGGTTTCGGTCACCGTGTCCAAAACAAAAATTTCTTCCTATACCTTTCAAGTGTCTAATAGTATAATAACAACCAAAAGCTCCGCATTACATTTGACTGATTTCATGAAATATATATTCTCTTTTATATCTTTTTTTTTTGGCTCACCTGATAATAAATATACTGTTTAATTGATGACACATATTCACAAAAGTTTTTCTATTGTCTTCGAAAAACTTTCGATTCATTGTAGAAATTACCTACCTTGATTACTTCGTTCAAGACGACCAATAGCATACCATATACAAGCAAGCCAATGTGCAATTAATGCAAATGTAGCCGTTAATAAAATTAAAACTCCAACACCATATTCTGAATATCGATCTAATTTTCTTGCTATACGTACTAATCTTAATAAACGTGCTGTTTTTAATAAACCCATTAATGTTGTTGATTCACCTCCACCATTTGTTTGTAATAATGAAAATAAAATATCAAATGGTATAGCTGCTGTTACATCAATTAAAAACCATCCTTTTAAATAATGTTTTGCTATTTTACTTGCACGTGTTACTAATTCTTCATTATGTTTAACATAAGTTGTACGTAAATTAACTAATAAATCAATAATAAACATAACATCAACAATAAGTTCAATAACATTTAATGCACGTGATGAACGTGAACGTTGTTTATTTGGTCCATCTTCATGCATTAAAAAAGCAGCTGTATATGGTGTAACAATAGCTGTATATATAACAAGTAATAATATTAACCAATCCCAACTAGCTTTAAATGGTGAATAATGAAGAATAATTGTACGTGGTATACGACGAGTATCTGGTGAACGAAAATCAGGTACAATATCTTCACCTAATGATAAAATTTGTGCTATACGATTTGGTATAAATGAACGTTTTATATTTTTTGATTCTTTTTTTTCTTTTTTAAGAACGGTTTCTATAATAATAATAATAAAAAAAAATATTGATGCGTGTTTTTTGTTTTTTAAAAAATAAAAAAATTCTTATTTTCAATTTACCGGCTATATTACTTAAACTTTGAGATTTACTTTTCATTAATTCAATATCATTAATATCTGTATTCCATAGACTATTATCAGGTTTTAATAAATTATTTGAACTTGTTGATGATTTACGACTTGATTTATAATCTAAAGGTAAATTTTTTGGTGTTGGTAAAATTGTTTCATCCAATGAAATAGTTGTTGTATTTTTATGATTTAATCCTATAATAAAAGACAATAATTTAATAGACAAAATTCACAATTTTCTAAGAATTTTTTTTTTCTTAATTATTTTTTTGTTCTCACAGGTGTTCGATTTTACTATTACATTTTTTTGCTAAAAACAAAAGTATAGAAATGTTATAGAAAAACAATGTTATTGTCTCTTTTTTGCTCGAATAAATAATATGAAAGTTATTCGATCTATTTATTGTTTACATATTTCATATTTTACTTATTCAATGTGATAGTGAAGATTTTTTTTTTGTTTCTTTGAAATCCAAAGACTATGCCAAAATAGATTTTATTATTAAAAGTTTATCTATCTTTTTGAAACTCTATGTCATTTTCTTTGTTTTTTTTTATTAACTATTGATTCGATTATTAGTTTTAAACATAAACATAACCAATCATAATTCTAATATAAAACTCATAGATGAATATTTATCTCTGTACGATGTTTTGTCATTGACAATTACTGATTGAGAAAAGCAAAAAAAAAGAATGGGAAAATGAATTGTGACTAGATGAAAAAAAAAAGAAACTATTCTTTTACCGATATAATCAGCTCTATCTGTTGCTGTAGGGCCTTCAAATTCACTTGTGCCTCCAGTTGTTGTATCATTGGATTGATTTGATTTATGTCGAGCTAATGGATTTAACATATGCAACCATGAACGTTTGTGTATACCTAGTACGAATATCATAAGAACAATGATACACATAGAAAATAAACATCATATACCAGTGCGAGTAATAGAATATTCACGAATTTTCGCTATAAAAACCACTTATGATGAAATATTCGTCTTACAAAACAAAAAAAAACGCGAAATACATACGCATTCGCTGTTGTCGATTACGATCATTACTTTCTGTAAATTCAAGAATATATAAAATAATATCGCATGATTCATTTTTCACCGGAGCGATGAGTACTGAACACCGAAATTTCATGCCTAGATGAAAATAGACGGAAATAATTTTTTTTTCTTCTCTTTCTTTTTTGTCACACATTCTCTTAACTAATATTAACTGAAAAAAACAACATTTGAAACGAAAAATTTACCATTATTCTTATACAAAATAATATCAACTTCTTTTTCATCACTTCCTTGCAAAGCATGTCGAATTTGTTTTGCAGCTTTTTCACTTGTTTCAGCTCCATATAAAAATTCACAAGTACAAGCTTTTTGAATTATATCTGCACGTGAATATCCAGTTAAATCGCAAAATGCATCATTACAATAAATTATTGGTTTATTTACCAATTGAGCATTGGATATAAGAAATCGACGATCTAATTAATTCATATTATATAAATATTTGTTTATATATATATATATTGAAACGAAAAACCAAACAAATTAACATACTTTGTGAGTCGAATTTACGTATAATTGTATCAATAAACGTATTTTGAGGAGCTGACACATGACCCCGTTTCATTGGCATTTTCGACGGAAACTTATAGAAGTATTGTCATCATCTTCAAGAAAGAATGGAAAAACAAAATGCATGCATATACTACGAGCCTGGGACGAAATAGAAATAGACTACACAAAAAAACTTGTCTATATTGAGGCGTTAAGGGAAAGAGATAGCACGAGACAAGCCAAAGAAGAAAAAAGTATCTGACGTCAATGGTGATACAGAAGATTGCATCACAATTGTACCATTAACAATAGCGATAAACTCAAGGTTAACTTTTAGAGATATATGTATATTCCAAGTTCAACTATCTTACCCTTTTGAGAGCAAAAAACACAATACAGAAAAAAACTCTGCCTTAAGTAACTCTTTTAATCATATGTTGATAGAATACATATAATTTGTCTCGACCACATTAATCATAATTAAAAATTTGTGTCCGTCTATTGCATAGATAAACTAATGAAAACTATGGAAACGAAACATCCGACATACTCCTTAACAGAGAAAAAAAACTCAAAGCTATTTACAATAATATCGTCATATGCATGAATAAGTCAATAGAATTCAATTTTTGAATATATCATGCTTATGTTGTAGTTAAAATAGAAAATATGTTAAACATGTTGTTTACTTACGTTCGATAATGATTTACTTTTAGACGGAAATAACAAATTAAAAGACATGCGATCAGCAAAAAAAGAAAAAGAAGAAAGAAAAGGTTCAAGGCTTGATACAACAAGTAATGAATTTTCTATTATTATTTTCTTTTTTTTTTGGTATTTACTCTCTCTAGCCTTTAAAAATGTTTGGAAAATCATACTCGTTTGTAATATTCCATCATTATTATTACAAAAAAATCGTCATTACAAGCACCATGATTGAACAAAACTTCGTTTCTCTCTCTCTCTCTCTCCTTCAAACACGTGATCGGACAGACCGAGTCGAGAGGAGTAAGAAAAAAAAGACTAAGCAAGTCTTTGCTACGCGAAGTTGCCTTTAAGAAAAAAATTTTCTTTGCATTCTTTTTTCCTCGATTTTCTTATCATTTTTCTTTGTGATGCATTCTCGCTAATATTCGCTTCACTTATTTTCACATTCCCAGTCATTTACAAATATATAAAGATATTTTTTTCGATTGTGTTGTTTTAACAAGTAATCAATATATGTATTGTTTTCCTCAGAAAGAAAAACATAAATATAAATTTATATCTATGTGACTTATGATAGCGATTTGCATAGTATATATGTTCAAGGTATATGTTGACAAGACGTCAAAATGTCACATGATCAATTGTTCGTGTCACATTTAAAATGAACGGGGCAAAAAGATTTCGTCGAGAATGATTAACTGACGTTTAGGGAACAGCAATCAGGTATTCAAAAGACAGGTCATTTTGCTCTGATTTCTATGTGATATTCCCATAGAATAACTATCGATAAAAAAGGAGGAGAGAGAGAGAGAGAGAGAGAGGAGGGAGAAAATAGAGAATATTGGCCTTGTCACCACGACAGCAAACAGAATTGGTAAAGAAACAACGATTCCCATAGAGAGCACTCTTCTTCTAATGCGAATTGGCGGAACAGCGAGAAAAGAAGATCTATCTCGTTCCTTATCGATCTATTATTATCTTCATGTTTGACTACATATATTTACAAAGCGTAAATACGATAAAGATGAGCTTCTAGAATATTGCACATAAAAAGAACAAAGAAAGTATTCCTTATGGATTAACAAGAATGTAACAACTTGTGCTACTATCTGTAATATATGTTCAGAAACATACTCATGCGCAGTGATTAGAATAAGAAGAGAAGAAAAAGAAAAGAGAACAACATTCAATGTTTACAAGCAAGATCATTAGTTTTTTTTTTCTTCGTGTTCGATGTATTTATTTAGAGAGTAATGATGAAAATTTTTTAACATAAATTTTATAATAAAGGTTTTTGTTGATCATTGATACATTCAACATATTGAGCAGGTAAACAACGTTGTTCTTCAAAACTAAATCGTTCACCAAATGGTAATTCATTTTGTGTACATGAATAAGATTCTGAACTACGTTCAGATGTACAACGAAAATACATACGACAATCACGTAAACGATCTGGATATAAACCATCAGGACGATTTTTACAACTAGGCAAATATGAACATGGATATGCATGAGCTGATGAACGTATTTGATAATCACCTTTTTGATAAAAAAAAAATATTTAATTTTTCGTGTGTACTTAAATAACTTACAAGCATCTTTTGGTTCAAAACGATCTTTACATTTGACTTCTGTATAATTTTTACATTCAAGTGTTGGAATATCAAATAATTGTGGCATTGGACAACTATTAAGAATACGTTCACCTGTTGTTTCAACCCGTACAACATAATACCAACCACAATTAATTTCATGTGGAATTAAAATTGGTTTTTTTGATTCTAATAACAAAAAAAAAACATCAATCAATAAAATATAGAATATCATTTATAAATAAATAAATAACTTACTTTCTTCAATTTCATCTTGAATAGTTTTACGCATACATTGATCAACTTCACTATTAAATCGATAAGCCGAGGGACAATTAAGTAAAAATAATTGTCCTTTAACGCATACATAAAATTTACTTATTTCAGATTTATGTGGAAGAAAATATGGTTTATCACGTTTTTCACATAATGATGTTGATAAAAGTTGTTGATTCATATTCGTCGATATCAAATTGTCATTATTTTTTATCATAGTACTAGTTGTTGTATTTGATTTATTCATCATAGTTTGATCTGTTATCATATGTTTTATTGTTGTATCAATGATAATATTTTTAGCATTGATAAAATTCCATTGAACAATAACAAGAATCAATAAAACTATTAAGAATTGTAAATATAATATATTTTTTGTTTTCTGTTTTTGTTTTTGTTGCTTACCTTGAAGCATAATTGTCTGTCTCATCTTTCATATACAAAACTAAGAAATGATCAAGTAAGTATTTATGTTTGAATATGTCTAATACTATTCAACCACCTCCTTCATTTTCTTTATTTAATCTAAATGCGTCATTGTACACATGACATTCAACAAGAAAAATAAAACAAAACAAAAAGATTCATTCAAATTGATTAAGGATTAGTATTGAGTCGTATTCTTATGGATAAACTAACGGTAGGTAGACATGTATTGTATTTATCCGAAAAACACATACGTCGTGGGCATATCTTTAAGCTAATAAAACGCTCATTATTACATTCTTAATACAATGAAGATTCTGGAAGATGAATCACGTCGAATCTGCAATAGCTTGATGTTTAAATAATAAAATCTGCATGACGTATTGAAGTACATATGATATTCATTTTAAGTAAAGAGAATAATATTTGTATTATATGCGTTTACAAATTGTATATAGAATAGATAAATAAAAACTAAATAAACCATGATTACTTAGTAGAAACAAAGTTTATGTGACATATACACGTCAATAATAATTCCCTTATTCAGATTTATGAATGATGATAAGAGAAACCAATTACGCGTGAAGGAGATTTGTTAGATATGCATGTCATCTAAAATTATTTCTATCATATTAACGAATAATACAAAAGTTCATAGAAAAAAAACTGCCTTTTTTTTTTTTCATGGACAAAGACACATTTTGAATAAATTACGAATACCTATTCAGAATCTCTGTTCAAAGCTCTATCTAATTGTATGTTGCAAACGAATGGCAACAAAATGGTTACAGCAGAAGAAACTTATCTCTCAATATTATTCAATTATCTTCTATGCGTTTTATTCTATTTCGTTGCTCATTTTTTCATTAGATTCATTATTTTATTTTTTACAAGTCGATTAGCAAATAATACAAGATTGCTTTGCGTTAAAATGATGAAAAAATTTGAAGAACAAACATGAAAATCAGTTCTCATGCAAGAGTCTTAACATAGGAGGAGAGTGTATAGGGAAATTCCAAACACTTTTACTTCTCTTGCTTGTTAATTATGAATTATTTTCAATTATTAGATAGGTGTACATCCTCCTACTTCCGTGCAACCTAATGAAAATAATGACAAGTCTATAGAAGTTCTATGGAACTGTAATACCATGGTTTTTATGAATATTGATAATATAAATACATCAAAGTCTTTGTGCCATTGACCTACAGAAAAGATGAATACGAAGAATACAACAAGAACATCTATCTGAAATAATTCTATAATGTTCTCTGTATCAATTGTCAACAATTGAATAAGGCACTCCATAGAGAAAAGATCAACACTATCTTTAGTCACAAAATTTTTTTGCAGCAATCATGTCGAGTTGTTGTCTACAGAACACTTGATTGTTTGAGCCGGTATAGAAAATCAACTGTTGTTTGAAGAATTCTATTGAATGATATATGACGAATTTTTTTTTTTTGTAGAAATAAAAACCATATCATAGAGTCGATTCTAGTATAATTCATTTGATAATAAAAGCTATTCGTCAAAAAACAAAATGAGAAGTACTTTTCAAAAATCTCAAATGATTAATTAGCAAATAAATACTTAGTAAATATCTTTTTGTTCGAGTAGTACATGATATTATTTGTTCAATCACGTTCTTTAAAAAATATCGAAATGCATAGACAAAAGAAACAAAAGGAATAATAATAGGAATAAATAACAAAAAAATAGTAAGCCGACAAACAAAAAGAAAAGAACAATACAATCTTATTTTCTTTTTATTTCAAGATAGTTTAGCTGCAATCATTGTAGCCGATGATGTCAAAGTAGTTAACTTTCGTGGTAGAGATAATTTTAATGAATTAGTATGACATAATCGTTGTGGTTCAATTGAATATTCTTTAGTTGACAATGGTAGAGAAGTGGAGACATTCATATCAATACCACACGGTAGAATAATTGGGGAAAATGATGAAGAATCTTCCATGATCATCATTGAATCATCAATTGACGAAGCAATTGAGTCAAGAACAGATAATATTTCATCGTCTTCAAATTCAATCTGTGATATTATTGATGATAAAAGAAATTCTATTGTTGATAAATCATCTAAATTATTTTGTTGATTTATAGGATATTCTATAAATATTCAATAGAGATAAAAATTTAACGATCGTAAATAAAATTTTTTATAAATCTTACCGAATTCTTCTTGTTGTTTTTCGGCTTCTAATCTTGTTATAGTTTCATGAAAATGATTTCGTACACGATTTTGATTGAACTCAAGTCTTCCTAATGGATTTTTACATAGCATTGTTGCACATGGACATGGAAATGTTAAACGATCAACTTGACATGCAATACCATTAAGATGACATTCACATGTAGATGGTTGACAACCACCTGTTTCACGAGTACATGAACAACCACATACTTCACGTGAACGTCTTATTAATGTTAACTCATGTTTTTCGGTTGCATCGATTTTAACAAGACCAGCTTGTTTAAGTAATGTACGACGTTGTCTTGTAGCTATTGGTTGAACAAAATAATAATCATCGACAGGAAGAGGATCATCTTCATCATTATCACTGTCAATAGCTAAAAGAAGAAAAAGAAAAGAATTATAATTTAAGTTAAACAGATTTTTCTTTCTGATTAATAATGCTACGGTTCTTAATTCAATAATCATGAACTTCATGAAAGCAAAGTCAAACTTCGGAGAAGCATTGCCTATCCATATTTCACATCTGTTCGAACTACTACCACCCGTTAGAAAGTAACTATCGATATACCGCGATAGAATGGTGGTCAGAAAATAGCTGACCGTTTAATTACCAAACTATCATCAGCTTATCACCAATATAGTTTACATTCTACTGAACGATCTAGAAGCGACTTTTATTCAGTTTGAATTACATGGGTAGACATGTATTGAAACTGAAAAGTTCTATTTGAAAGAAAAAAGAGCCTTGCTTAAATTCATAAATAGACGAATAAAACTAATTGAAAGAGCATGATTATATCTGATGATTTGATCAATTTTCTAAAAACTAATATTTAGTTTTTACTTACTAGAAGATGTAGATGGTGGAAGTAGTTTTCTTTCACGTAATATAGATTTATGCACTGCACGACGAAGACGTAAAAAATCTGTAACGGAATATTGTTCAACATGTGAATGCTCATGAACCATACCTAAAATGTTTTTTTTTAAATAATTAATAAATTAAAGTGAATAGTTTTTCTTCTACTGACCAAGAGTGACTGTACCCTGACTTGGTACACTTACAAAACCTTGACTACGATCAAAATAATAAACAGTAACATCATCAAAACGAACATTTTTTTTCGTTTTTTGTTTTTTTATTGTTGTTTCTTCATTATTATCTGAATTAAATTAATAATAAAAATAAACTTTTCTTTGTGAGAAAATAATACGAACTATCAATGATTGTTTCTATTGAATTATTTGTATTAATCGTATTATTATCTTCAAGTTTTCTTTTTGTAGACATGTTATATTTTAATTTCTATTAAATACAAATATTAAATATCCGACGAAGATTAATTAATAATTCATTGAAGTATTTGTTTTTTTATTATATCTGATATATTAATATAATTGAATTTAACATTATCACCAAACGGAGGTGAAATAAACAATTAATCTAGAAAAAAAAACCAACAAGAAAATTAAGTTTTTTGTTAGAAGTACGAGTAAATTTCCAAGAGAAGAAAAACAAAAACAAAAGAAATATGATGAACTCGATCTTCATTTTTAATTTTGAGACAGAATAAGTATATAAAGAATAATAAAAAAATATTCTTCACATGCAATGATGTCTCGAAAAATAATACAGATGTATTACAGTTCTAGATAGAAGTAGCTGCATCCCATGAAATTCTACTATGCTTTATGATATTGAACTGTTATTTTGCATGGATGCATGTGACACTAAATCCTGATCGAAAGCGCCGACCCACCTTCGATCGGTTGACATTTACTCGAGTAATGATCCAAATATCCTCTTCCTCTTGTGATCATTGTATCTCAACTTAATTGGCACAAATATTTTCGTCCAACCTTTCATTCGAAGGATCATTGTCGTAGCTATTTCTAGTCGAAATTTTGTTACAAGTCACTTTACAATAATTAAGATATTGTTTTCTAATGAAGGCTGTCTGTTGAAGAGCGAATGCTGGTTTTTAATAAGATCGATCTTTTCCATGACGAGTCTCTTATTTCAAAACAAGTTTATTACTAATATCTTGACTATGTATCACAAGCCTTGGTGATAATAAACTAGACATATGGAACTGCATTTAGCACTAGAAAAAGAAACCGGTAGTAAGTAGTAGCTTGTCGAATAGTAAAATAACAAATAAAAACTTTTCGAGTGTTTATTTCCGTTGAAAATGTTTTCTTCATAAGGAAAACATGATGTGTCAATCATAACTTCGATATATATGAATTGATTGAAAGTGACTCAGTACTTGTGATTAGGATTATGAATAACAACTACTTTTGTTCAAGATTGTATAGGCATAAAAACAGATGTACAAAATGTGATATGAGATTTATTTGAACTTAAACTCATTATTTGACAAAAACGAAAACAAATTAATCAAAATACGATTGATAAAGATTATAAATGACTAAGACTGATATGGCTAAAATAGCAACAATAAATAGAAGATATTCTTGTGGTTTTAAGCGAATTGAACGTGGACGTTCTTGTTCACCGTGTTGTCGTAAAGGTAGATAACGTTTATCATTATTTAAATATTGATTTTTATTCGATGATGAATTTTCATTCGATATTAAACCATATGTTGCAAAAATCGATTTATGGTGTAACCTAGACATTTTACAAGGCTATGGTTAAGTATGCACTAAAATAAGGAATAGATCATGAAGTATGAGCTCAGCTATTGATAATATCGAGAATCACCAAAGCAGAAAATATCACTACATGCATGATTATGATATATCTTTTACGAGACAATATTAAACTGAACTCACATGTTTGTATTCTTTTTTAAGATTCCAAGAAGAAAATTTCGATCTAAAAGAAGAATAAAATGATCGAATCGGCTATTCTTGCTTGTTTTTTCCCCTCAATCTTTTCTATTTTGCCCCTCGAAACCTTCGAATCATGATAAATAATTGAAAAGAATGAAAAGAAAGAAAAACTGCATTTTATTGTTGTAAATGAATATGGCATAAACAATACACGCACACGCACAATGTTTAAGTTTCGAGATTAATTTTTCTTTTTTTTTTTTGCTTTTTTTTTATAATGTTCAGTTAAGTAAATGATAATAAGGGATAATAGAAAAAAGAAAAGAGTAATTTGTACATTCGTAGCTACAAGACGGGAAAACAATTGCTTATTTATAATAATTAGAAAGAGAAACATACATTCAAAGGATGACAAAACGAGGTTAGACGAGGAAACTATTAAGTTTTTGTTTTTACATAATAATACAGAAGAAAAAATTTGAATTTGCTTGGTTCTCTAATGACGATGATTAAACCAATCCGAATCATTGCTATCGAGAGTTAACAATTCGATAACTTTAGCTAAATCATTAGCATGTTCTTTAAGTAAACGTTGATTTTTAGCCCGATTAGCAAAACCCATTTCAATTAATGTTTTCATTGGATCAGATGAAGACATTGAATTACTACGTACTGAAGTATCAGTAAGACGTCCCGAAAAACCATATGTATTGGTTTCATTTGCATTGTATGTATTGATCAATGTTGGTTTTTCTTGTTCTTGAACAGGCGGAATTATTGGTGCAATTGGCTAAAAAAAAATATTTTTTTAATAACTTAGTAGAATGAATTTTTTTTTTCTAATACTTCATCATATGCTTGTAATGTATGAAAAATAGCTTTTGCTGTTGAACCTGCTTGTTTGGCAACGGTAAAAATATTTGTAACTACCGTATCAACAAAATCCAATGGTTGACTAAAATTAAAGAATAAAAATAAAAAATGAAATATTTAAGATCGGACACACCCTATTCGTGTTGATTGATTTTCTTCATTATTCTTATTATTAGGAACTACCGGTGGTGTTACTGGTCGATTTTCTGTTGGTGGTGATGCTAATTCAATTGATTTTATTGAATTTTCTAAAGATGAATCTGGTGTAAGATGTGTTTCACTTGCTTCTGGTACAATTGGTGGTAAATACATAAAAGCAGAGAGACTATCAGTGTCACTCTGATATGAACTTTGAAGATCATCAACTAAAAAAAATTGAAAATAATATAAATAAAAAAAAAGAAAAACTTTTAACTTACTATCAACTGTGTTGAAATAGGTTGATAATAATTCTGCTGAATCATTACGGTGTAAAATAGAACTTGACTAAAATAGACAGATAAAAAAAAAGATGTTAGCGCAATCCACAAGAGCCTAAAGTGTGAAATTCGATGTAGCTGCTATTGCTAATCATGGGAAGGTCGTTGTATTCTATCTAGTTTAGGACACATTTTTTCATTATCATTCTCCAGAAATGCAATCAGGAAGTAGTAACCAGGTGTTATTGATATATGATCTTTAATTATATATGAACAACATCTGTGACCCGAGAAGGGAAGTCTTACTAAGATGTCTATCACGGCCAGCAATGAAAGAGAAACATTACTAAGGATGTTTGTCACGTCTGTGATGCGTTGTTACTAGAACTCTGCAACAAGCTCCGAAATCTGTCTCCAATGGAGTCAGAGTCGCAATAATTGTAAAGAATTTTTTTCGGGGTCAATATCAAAGTTACATCAGTAACACAATCAAATATTTTTACTCCTATATAATAACAAATTTATTCTTGATATATTAAGTAACGAACAAAAATAGACTAGATTTATAAATAAATTTTAAGAAAAAAAAACCATGTCAAAGAGACACTTTCATTAACAAGTAGCACTAAAAGAAGTTTATGTAATACTCAAAAAAATGCTCGAAGTTGGAGCTGTATGAGTAAAAAGTTTCTGAAAGATCAACTTACATGAAGTGAACTGTTACTTGATGTTTTCATTCCTGGTTGATATGGTTTTGATAAATCAAAACAATCCGGTAATGGTACTTCAACATAATCTAATTCATTCAATGAACTTGCACTAGTTATTGATTCTTTAAACAGAACAAACAAAAAAAATTTTTTTTGAAATTATAGATAATATTTAATTATTTAAATAACTTACGAATTTCATTTTCAATTATAGACCATTGACTAACTTCAATTGTACACCATATCATTGGACCAAATGATTGTTGATGATAAGCAAGAATCCATTTACTTTCATATGTACCTGGTTCATTTGGACACATATAATCAACACTAATAACAGCTCGTGCATGTGGTGCTGTTATTGGAACAACTGGTTGTTGAAGAACTTGAATACCATTATTTAAATTAATTAATTGAATATCATTACTATCCCATGGCATTGAACCATCATTAAGAAGTACCCAACCTTTACGAAATATTTGTCCTGGTTTCATTGATGTACCATCAGGTGTATTTTCATCAGCAATAAATCGTGCAGAAAATGGACTAATATTTAATAGACACAAATAAATAAATAAATAAATAAATATACATTTAAAAGTTTCATTTCATATTTTCTTACTGAAGTAATTTAATTTTTTCTTCAATTTTTAATACATCACGTAAATCACCATTAGATGTAGCTAATTGAAGATTATCATAAAGAGCAGCAATTTTTAATTTCATTGGTGCAAAATAACGAAGAATATCTTCAGGATTTGATCTAATATTTTAAAAAAAATATATATTATTTAAAATCATATTGAAAATTAAAAGTTTATTAACCGATCATAAGTTGTATTTGGTGGAATTTGTATTGTATTTGATCGTTTCATTTCTTTTTTATTTATATGACCAGTGTTCATAGATGATAATGTTGAACGATGTTCACGATGATGTTTTCGTTTAAGTGAACGTTTTCCTGTTGAAATTAATAATTCCTACAACATGAAAAACAAGTACATCAAAATCGATCTTGATTTTTCATTTTTATCTTACATCAATACAATCCATAATATTATTGCGAGTAAATAATGGTGTTGGTACTTGTTCATCTGTTCGTTGTTTTTTAATATTCTTTACACAGAAAAAAAAAAAAGTTATGCTTAGAAAAATAAATTTCAAAGAACTATTTACTTTGCGTTCTGCATCATTATTATTCATAGTCATTAATCGAATATTTTCAGCAAGAGTTTCATAACAATCATGGTGTTTGGATTTTCGCTGTACAGGTATTGATATCTATGGAAAATAAAACGATTACGATCGATCCTGGTTGATATCTTTTACTGATGTCGAAGACTATTTCAATGAGAGGACATGTATAGACTATTCTGCTAAGTCAAAACTCATGATCGTATCTGTTGTATTTTACCTGCTCACTTCGATATCACGCTATATTATTGAATAATTGTTTAGCGTTGAAGTTTTTCATGGATTTATTTGTATGCACTGATATTTCTAACACATATTTTTGTACAGATATATGAACTGCGAAGTAAGTTAAGTATACAATTAATTAATAATGTCTGTGTCTGATGAACAGTGGATCAAGAGATTTTGAACTCAATGGACTAGCCCACCTCAACTCTTTTCCTCTCACATCAAGATTTATGCTCACAAAGATGTCTTGGGAAGACAGGTAAAAGCCAAAAAAAAGTGAATCTCCATGTGCATTTGGAATCGAGTTATGATTGTTTTACTGAATTCTCAATCGTGCTTTCGAGAGATACTGAAAAATAAAAAAAAAACGAAATTTCGTTGTGAAAGTTAAACCATCAATGAGTTCAACGATCTGTAGAATAACGGGAAAATTTATTCTTTCGTCAGGATATTGAAATTATAAAAACAAGCTATCGTTGATCTTAAGCATATTACAAAANTTCTCTAATACTAGCATATTAATATAATTAGTGTTTACTTCGCATGCACACTTCAAACTTCGAGCTTCTGTTTCAGGAAAAGCTTTTGTTGTTTTATTACAAAATTTTCGACTGATTTTCGTATCGACCATTTTTCGTTCGACCAATTTTCGTAGACCCCCGCTCTATGTTCATTTTCATTTGAAAAGGTCAATATGTTTGTTGCTTCACTTGGTGTCCATCAGTGATTCTTAATCATCAATGTCGGCTGTATTGTCGATTTTGTGCTAAGAAAAAAAAAACAAGTTCAATTGCATATTGTCACGATGAACACGCCTTGCAGGAGCTGAGATTTGCTGTTTGACGATAAGTAAAATTTGTATGAATATCTTCAACGAAGTCCTATTGGTTGCTTCTCGATCAGTTATATTCCTTTTTGAGACGCAGCAAAGAGTACGAGTCAGTTTTTTCATTCGTTACTATAACACCTTTTCTCGTCAGTCTTTGTTTTCTGTGGACACAACGAGTGTCGCGTGAGAGAAGTAAAATATAATTCATTTTTCCATTACATATGGATTTATCGTCGTCGTCCCCATCGAAAGCATTATGTACCACTTGTAAAAAGCTTCGTGGTATTTCGAGATGTGATGGATGCTCTAACGTATACTGTGAAATACATTTCATGGAACACAGACAAGTACTCAAAGATCAACTGAATAATATTATTCTCGAACGTGATGATTTCCAGCAAACATTGCATGACTACAAAAAGTTGATACAACCTCTTGTGAAACAACTAGAAAGATGGGAAGAAGAATCTATTAAAAAAATCAAACTAGCAGTGCAGGAAACTCAACAAGAGGTGGAACGACTAGTTAAAATGCATGAAAGTTAGTCAATCAATATGAAATTTAGAAGATGTTTTTCTCAATAACTTGAAAATCAAGTGAAAGCTGTTTGTATTTTTTTTTAGAAAGAGAAAATGAAAAGTTTGATAGTTTTACAAAACAACTTGTTAAAATTCGTGAGGATGGTGATTTTGATGAAAAGGATCTTGATGAGTTGATGACCAAGTTGAATACATTGAAACTTGATGTCACTGACTTTTCTTCTTCGATTCGCATCCGTGATGAACCAAAGACAACTCTGGTGGCAAAAATCTTCGTTTCTGGAAAGGGGGCACATAGCACCAATACTTCAACAATTCTAGGCGGTAAGCATTGACTAATGTCTCATTGAGTCATCTACTCATTCGAGTGAAAATACGAAAATAATTTGATGAAACATTAACCAAGCAGAAAAGAAAGTTTGAAAATGCTTTTAAACGTCTTAATTACGATTCCCGTTTGAGCGTGATCACATTCATCTAGAAAACACCAAAATTAGCCACTTTCATCATGCAAACTACATGAAGACGGTTAAAAAGATATTTTTTTCATCTGGAAAATATCCAAAACGTTTTCTTACTATATTTTTGAAACACACTATGCATAAAAAAGTCAGTTTAAATGCAAAAAGCGGCAAAATATTGTGGGGAAAACGTCTCAATGGGAGCCGCGATTAAACCGTTTAAATGCGCTTTCAGAGATTCTTGTCCGCTTAGGCACAACTCATCAAAGCTGTAAGAAGAATATAGTTCTCGATCGTATCATATTGTTTTGATCAATTTTGGAATAAATCAAACAGTCACAATTTGTTATTTGCATTGAAAAAAGGTTATATGCGCAGTTAAGTAAATGCAAGACGAAACATTAAACGGTTAAACCAACGCGCTGAACAGAAAAAATTCTAAATGACAATAAAATTCTAGCAAAAACTAGGTTATAATAATTAGACAAGGATTAGACTGAATTGGGATTCAATAAATTTTGTATGGACTCCGCAAAAATTATCGATCATTAATCCGCTCTTTTGTTTCTTGATGTCAGTTCAATGCCTACAGAAAGATAAATTCATTATCTTCCAACTTTTTCAGATCCGAAACATCAAGATGGGAAAGCTCAAGCACATGATGCAGAGACAAATATATATATAAAAGTAAGTTCATGATCAAGATATGATCGCGGGAGCCGTAATAATTCTTTTTATTCTGGCATTACTGAAACTCTCTATTTAAGAAGGCCAGTGATCGAAAACAGCTTGTGCTTTGTTCATTCTGCAACGATTCATTTCCGTCTTCACATGCTTTGGCTGATCATTTGATTATGTGTGGAAATAAGACAGATCAATGTCCGCACTGTAGACAATTCGTTCGGCGAGCTATCTTTGCTTTTCATTATGAAAATAATTGTGCTGATCCGGATTCATCCTCTCGCCCTATTCATTCTAATTCTCATCTATCTGCGAATTCAAAGACACCTTCCTATTATTACTCGTCGCATCATCAATTAGGATCAGTCATGAATCATGTAATAACAGATAACTCCAGATCGATAGGAACGATGGATGGTACATCAAACCAACAGATGATGTGCAGCGGTATGTAGTGCCACTTTTCTATATATATTTCGTATAGCTCGTTTGTTGAAGCAATACCAATGACTATCGAACATCCATTTTGTGGGAATCTGGTACCTGAAGATTCATGCAGTTGAATACATCAGATGACTTCCTTAAAGACCAACAGATTTGTTTTAAGATAGTGATTGTTACTTGGCTGAATGGTTTCAGAAAAACTGTCTTGTGAAACCTAAGAATATTGTGAGAAGAAACCAATGGCTACTAGCTATGGAAAACTAATTAGATTGAAAATCCACATACTTGTCATATTATAATTTTATTCTCATACATTGTTCTAGATTTAGATCAATCACGTGAACCTAATGACTACAATAACAGCGTCTATGTTCCTTGCGAATATATTAATGAATCGACTGACTGTAGTCATTTTAAGAAGCGTACGGTAGGTGTATCAAATAGATCTTTCGCTCTTCATTTTTGTCAAACAGGAAAATTGTGCTGAGCAAAGATATCGGAATGTGTCAAAACCCGTTCGGTTAGTTTATTCGCTTAAGTTCACAGCTAGTGAATATTATTTAATTTTAGACGTAACTATGATGAAATCTTGCCTTCTGAAGTGCAACATGTAGCTCAAAATATGACATCCTCGCTAAACAGATTTCAAGATCATTCAATCAGAAGTATTCTCACCTTTTGTGCCCTTATTCACATAGTCTTTTTTTTATATAGAATCATCAACAAACAAATAGTAATCCCAAATGGCAACGAAACTCCAAGCATGACACTTGATTCAAGAATAACGCATCGCATGCCTTGTGTGATTCTTGCAAACAGTTTTATTAACCATATTTAATGTGCTTTTTTTAACCAAATAATAAAGAATGTTGGGAACTCTTCTTAGTGGCATAGTTACAACTTTGCTTATCGTAGATTCATAGCCCCCATGTTTTTAGAGTTCACCTCCTTCTTCTTCTTTGTTATCCACGATAGCGAAAGCGTCACATCAGTTTCAACCAAGTTTTTAGCGAGAATAGACCACGACTACACTGTCGAATATATGTTCGATAATGGACGTTCGTGCTTATTTGTTTGCACTGTACTGGTTATTCTTATATAACATTTGAAAAACATCCTAGCTTAAGAACAATCAAACAAATCCTGTACCACCACAAGAGGCAGTTTCATGCAAAGCGCTGCTTCCATGTGGTTCCATTCTATTGATCTCTTTTATAAAACTTTTCAAAGTTATAAGAACAGAAAATACTTTTATATTCTTCTGTTTTTTTTTTCATTTTCTCTTTAGTTCCTGAAGGTGTGAATGCTGGTGTCGGTAATGTTGCGGGTGTCAAAGCCAGTATCGATGTGTGTTGTAAGCTGAGTGTGGGGTGGGTGCCCGTGAAGATATGAATAGGATATGATTATTTTTTTTTCTGTACACGCTCAGCCTTGCCGATACCTACATCCACGTCCACCCACCCAACTGGATGTTATCGCTTTTGGTATAGCAAGTTTTCTTAACATGCTAACATATAAGCAAAACCAAACTTCAACATAGTTATCAATTGTATTGAAATCTATTTGTATATCAAATATGAAAAATTCAGCTAAAAATATATGACATTTGAAGAATTATGATGTTTCTATTTAACTTTAGTGATCGTATAATTGAACAAGATTAAATGCGTGATGATACAAAATTGTAGAAATCAGATGTATAGACTTTCTTTTCGTTGTCTTTGCTTTAGAACTTACAGTCAGAAAATTGTAAACTCTACTTCAGTGCTTGAAATGAAAACAATTTTTTTCAGTCGCTTTGAAGCACTTAGAGACTACTTTTTTCTGTGAGAAGACTTTTTATTTTTGATTCCTGGATCAAGAAATATCGGATTTAATAACGTTTTAGGTCAATATTTTAGTCTCTTTTTTTAAACTCAAGTATACTAAACAGTTTCTAAAACAAATAAATGAAAGAAAATAAATTAATCTACTCTGTTACGTTGAATTCGAATTCTTTCTGCTGCAGCAGTAGAGTCATTTACTCGAATGTCTAGAATGACAATCTTTTCTAGTGCAATCCAAGAATAATATTCGGTATTGTGTCAGATAATAGATCCGTCGATTGGATCCAGAGAATTATCTTTTTTTATTACATAGGTTAACACAGTATATTACTGTAGTAATATAATAAATCACTCCTCTGTAACGACTGAAAAATTGACTATTCGGCGTGGAGTCATTATTTTTCTCATCTTGAAGTACACATCTTCTAAAAAAACTGCCCATTCACTAGAGATGGGTTATTGATCTACAATTTGTTTTACGACATCAGCTCTCAAGCACTATTTCATTTGAAACAAGATATAGGAAATAGTTAACGACTCTTTAGATCTGTAAGACGGACTGTATTTGAGAAAAAAATATTCTATGGCTATAATCACGCTACTCTTTTTCTGTGGCTAGGACAGTTAAATAAATTGAGATGTATACATTGCCCATTGATAATTATCCCATTGGCCGTCGTTATACAGAGGAAATGCAACACTCCCAATATTGTCTTGTCTGAAGGAAGATAAGATTATAATTGGGGATCACAATTTTAACAAAAACGAATCAAAAAGATACTTGTTAATATTTCCAAGCTCATGTTTTGATTTAACGTAAACAGAATCTATCGATTAGTATAGTCTAGACTGGCTTGATATTACCACAGAACAATATCAGTTGATGCTCGTTACAGAGATTCATATATTACATTTAATAATTCTAAAAAATTTATGGTTAATCGAATATTACTGATTAATATTCAAGTGTACTTCAATGATATCTGTACAGAAGCTTGATGACGATAATGAAAGAAGAAATAAGAAAAAAAAGAGATTTCTTGAATATGGTCACTTTCGAACATTCCTTTTCTTTCATGGCATGATAATATTTTCTTTGACAAAAATATTCAAAACTTTGAAATTAACCATCAAACTAATGGTGATCTTGTAACTGATCTTCGAAATCAAAAATAGTTCAGACATATTTCTCTACGTGTTGAAGAACATCATACCAGAATGCTGCAACTTAACGTTTCAACTTCTAATTTTCTTGACTCTATGCATATTTCATCTTTCGCTAAATAATCTTTATTTTCTGTAAAATTAAAAGAATAACAAGTACCAATATGTCTTTTTTCTAAGCTAATAATATGTTTATATCGATTAAAGTTAAAAGATTATCATAAGCTTTAACTTCCTAAATATTAAACACCAATTCCGACAAATGCTCGAATTTTTTCTGAAGCAACGTCGGTCACTTTTGCAACTACATGCTGCGTTATTTTTTTCTTGACTTCTGCTTGAGCAACATCGAATTTTTTGCCCATATATGCAGCTGTTGTTTCAGGAATGAAATGAAGTACGAGTTCTAATGTACCACCATCTCCACCTTTTTCATTGAGCATTGGAAAGCTTACGGTATGAAGCCATGCTTTGTCCAAGTTTGTATCATATCGGCCGCCCTGTTCATCGTCCAGTAAACTCAAAGTTCCATGAGCCAAAAGATCGTCTTTATCATAATCCGCATCCCATATCTGAACATATAATGCATCTAATTTCTGTGGCACAGGAAATAGAAATCTCTCATTGAAAATTGGATTGCAACCATAGTGAATCTGTGTCCTCTGATATGTGTCTGTTTGTTTTTTTTCATTTCCATGGTTCGTATTTTTCATCGGAATAGGTTCAATTGAAATAACTGCATAACAATCGTTCTCACCAAACCATTCACTTTTGACTAAATTCTTTGCCTGAAGTACAGTTACTGAGAGAACACCCTTGAGGCGTTCTGCTGAGGAAGATGAAGAAGCCATTGTTAAGTAGTCCTTGTTCGTTGAAATAATTTAGATTAATAGTTAAGTGCAGCTGTATTTTTCTATACACGTAGATCAATAATACACGATTTTGATTACCTTGTGCATATTTTTATATTATTGCATGCATCATTGCATTACCGAACATAAATATTTTTTCAACGATGAATACAGCGTATTGACGCTTGCCTTTATTTGTTTCAAATATTTTTAATAGTCAATAATATATATTCGAATCACCAAATGACGATTCATCCTTCACTAATCTGATATTTTATTTATCAATATAATACTTATTGCTCTTTCGAAAAATAAACATGTAACCTGAAAACCTAATAATGCAAGATTATTGTCAAGGATTGATGTATGACATTTGAAAATGGATCAAAATCTTCATAATGTTGTAATGGATGTCGTAGTCAAAATAGGAAATAACTATACTTAGAGAATTAAAGATGGTAATCATCCTATTAGCTTGCTTTGTCTCAATAAAAATTTGTAGAAAATTAAAAAAAAACGAAGTTTCATACATGCTTGATTTTCAATTATCAATTATTGACAATTAACATTTTAACATACAACAAGAGATAAGGATAATGATTAAGAAATTTTTGACAAATCTTCAACATTTAATAAATAATTTATAATCAAAGGGAAACAAAGTGAAATAAAAGATATTTAGTTCTAACTGATCGATCAATATTATATTTTCTCGTTGTAAATAAAGTTTCTTTCAAGATTTGATTGTGTTCGAACACAACAAATAAAATATATCACGTGTAGTTTTTTTCTGTTGTAAGAATATGAAATCTGTTTCATTGAAAAAGTGAGAGATCAAAGAATTATGTTGATATTTGCCAAAATTATTTTCTTTCAGATTTTGATGATACTAGAAAGAGGATCAGGTCAACATGTCTGTACTTGTTATTTTGCATATAATTTTCATATGAATTAAAGAATAATAATAAAATCAGTTAATAATCGATGAGGCTTGTTAATAAATTTCAAGGTCAATAAATAATATTTACAAACAGCCAAAACAAAAGTCAAAAACTAAATATAGAAATTGAAATGCGTTATTATATTATTTACTTTTTTTTTTTCTCTTTTCTTATACTGTGTAGGATAAATCATACGTACGATATACATAATATATACACTTTGCAGCTATCTTGTCCTTCTATTTCAGCTTAGAATCAACAAGTTAAAAAGATGAACATGATACAAGTTGCTCAATACGAAAGTGGTATATAAGACGAAGAGATTGTGGAACAAAAGTTATGCCATAAATGAAATTGAAAGACCTTCCAAAAAAACAAAAACAAAACATGGAGTTCAGCAGATTATATTTAATAATGCTAATGAATAGTCAAAGAGCTGTAGGCACTATACAAAAAATATAGGAACAGTTTATTAAAGATGTAACCAAACCAAGCATTGTTGACATCAATGTAGAGCAAGTATTTATTTACTATAACATGCAGACAGTGATAAAGTTACTGTTTATAACACTGAAACTAGATATGATGGTCATTATGATAAACTGCATAGTATTGATGAAAATAGAAAAAGGTGCGTACAAACATTCTGTCATAATGGTATAATAAGATCTAACCAAATCATTCGAGCATTTCAAAGAAATGTAAGAGCTACAGATATGCAAACATGTCGTTAGTTTGACTATTTGTGTGAAATATTCTAAGCTATCAACAACAAAGACAGTTTCACTAAGCGAGAAAAAATAGAGGTAGATCAACAATGGCTAAAACGGTTTTGATATTACAATAATTTTATTTTCATCGTTTTTTTCTTCTGTATTTTTCATTGACCAAATTTGTATGTTTTTACTGATTGAATTTATATTTTCTTACTTATGTTTGTATATATGCACTTTCAATAATTTTATTCCCCAGAAAAAAGATAATTGGTATATTACTATCTTATGCTTTATATAAAATGTCATTATTTCTGTAGTGAGCCTGAATAATTGTTGTCAACGAAGTTGAAATGTTCAAGGTACTATTCTACCTAATCGAATAACTTTTCTAAGTGGTAAAACAACTTTAGTTAGTTATGTTTATTTGAGAAAGCTCAAGTTTAGTTTTTATTTAGATTGATAAATTATTATATTCTAATTTCTTCTCGCTATATATCAGAAAGAGAATATAAAACTTGTGCTGATTAATTTGATTCATTTGTCATTTTTCTATGACAAGTGGTATTAATAAATATAAACTATGTCCGTTAGATCTTGGAAATAGTTAGCGAACAACAAATTATATCCAAGATAATTGAGATTCAATGATTCGTGATATTGATCTTGTAAAATTATGTTACATTTTTCATATTTGAACATCTTTTACTTTTTCTAGAACATAAATATTGCTAAAAAACCAGAACCAGGTGATTGAAATGATTCTGATAGTAAATTATTATTTCGTAGTTGCTAATCGATTGCAACGACTTGATATTCGTACTTAGTGCTTGTAGTTGCTAATAGTGACATAACTGAGATTAAATATGTTACACTTTTTTCTTTCTGGGCTCTCAGTAAAACACTTGTGATCATTGGATGTCATGTTATTAAAATAAGCGCAGCTACTCTATCATTTCTTACAAATCTTGAAATTTATCGCTGGTAATCAAGATTCATTAGATATTCAAGGAAAGACAGTTGTCAAATGCAACAAGTAGAATAGTTGTTGTTACGTGTTCATTAACATCATCAAATATTGAGCCAAGACGTCATTAATGGACATAGAGTTCTCCAGATGAAAGTATACGAACAGTATTTCATGAACGATGTTTGTCAATCGACCATTGTAGTACAACAACTGAAGCAGTTTATATTGTGGTGAGTGAATGTTATATTGATGATTTACAAGCACAATATCGAGGTAAAAATCAACCATGAATAACTGATATATCTAATCAGAATATCGTTTCAAAGAAAATTTGATTGGTTAGTTTAAATGTCCATAATTTCGATGATTCAAATATTGATGGATTCACATGTATTCAACAATATAATCAAAATTTGGATATGGAATGCAACAGATGAAACACTAATAAATGAATGCTTAATGATTCAGCAAAAACTTGAGAGGCTGGCCCATCTTTAGATGATTTACAAGCTGTTATTATACTAAATCGATGTGATTGCTCTTAGTAAACCAATTATTGTTAATTGGATAAATATTAGTTTTCTAATTAATTACTCAAAGATTAATACTCGTGTGATTATAATGCTAAATATTATTCTTACTAAAAAGATAGACAAACAATAATATGTTTCATTTGATTTTGATCATGATTTATCAAAACCCTCGGAATTTTTTCGTCAATTTCATGATGATATTAGCAGTATTGTATAAAATGATCTATTTAACGAGAATAAATTTCATTTTTTGTTCTAGAATTGTATTGCTACATACTTCGATTATGTATGGCAGACTTTGACAAAGAAAAAGAACATAAATAAATGATGTATCTACCATATAAGTAGAAAATAATATAAGTTCACGTTTTTGACTAACATCAGCATGGAAACATGATAGTATTATTAATTGAATGGTTGTTATCATTCGTTCGAATTATAAAATTTTATTTTGATAATGCACAAATTAAAACTATGATATTTTACTACACGAAAATAGCTCGAAAACATATCATTGAAATGCATTATGCATTTGAATTTCATTTTTACAGATTTGAACTTTATGATAATTTTATTTGTTCTTTGTTAAAATAAGCAAGTTGTCAACAAAGTTTAAATGTACACACAGAAAAGCTCTAAATATCTATAAAACAAATACGCAAGACAATGGACGGAACAATACAAACAGCCGCCATGATCATCATAGAATACTATTTTGATCTAATACAATAAATCAAATAAGACAGTTAATTACTTCGACAAACATAAGATAATCAGATTATGCTACTAACACAAATATATATATATATATGTATGATGATCATCAAACTTCAGTTGATGAATATGATACTTGTCGAAAATCGCGTTCCATAGTTGAATGAATATTGCCTTCTTTTTTTGTTAAAAAATTATTAAACATTGATTGCGATGATCTTGATGGTGTTCGATTTTGTTTATTAAAATTATCTTGTTCCGTTGCATAGAATGTTTTATGTTTATATAACCAAAACCATATAGCAATACCAATAAGAAAAAGAATACTTGAACTAAGTAAAAAAATTGGTATAAAAATTTTTTGAAATTGTTCAAATTGTTTATCTATAATTTTAGAATTATTAATAAATGAATTACTATGACTTTGATTAACTATGGTATGATTTGATGGTTGATATTGACCAGATATATAAGTTTGTTCATGATGAGAATTTATTTCCGATATATAATGATCCGGCGAGCAACAATAATGATATGTATTTGTATCGCAACAAAAATATTGAATAAAACTTTGCATTGGACAAACAAAACCTATAAAATTAAAATAAAAAAAGACAAAAATGTCAATTTTGTTTTATTTTTTATTGATATTAGAAAACGAACCATTATTCCAAATACCATTTATATCAATAAATCCACTACAGATGGTACTTGGTGATTTATCAAGTGCTATTATTGTTGTCGAGCTTTTGGTTGTAGACGTAATTGTTGTAGTTCTTGTCATCATTGTTCAGTCGATTGAGAGATTGAAGAAAAGAAAGGATATATGAATCTTCAACGTACGCTTCTATTTGATGATCAAGACAAGCAGAAGAACGATGAATGACAGATGATGAACAAGATGAAGGATATTAAATCTCATCTGGTTAGCTGCTATTTCTCTCGTATGGAGACTGATGACATTCTTATTCTATGATAGAATATAGTCAGTATTATATATCGATAAATATTCTTCTTTCATTAAAGCTGAAAGAGAACTGTCATAGATGTTTATCGCCTTAATAGTACTAAAGGAATTAATCAAACTATACGTAGTTATATTTATCGATGATGTTATGAAATAGATTTATTAGATTCGTAATACATAGTGATTACGTAGAAATATTTTTTTCGTTCAATTCATCTTACACTCGTAGACAAAAGTCTCCATTTCAGTCGATCTCGACTACTATATGCATATGAGGTTTGAAAATTTGTTTACACGTACTTTACCAAGAATGCAGGTCATTAACATTGCGGTGCCATTATTGTTTAATTACAAAGAAAATTATAATGGATGACACAAGGATCTTGCTCTCAGCATTAATATATAAAAAAAGACTGTCTATAAAATTTTGCGTTATATTTTTATGTGTAGCTGAACTTTCATCTATGATTTTTCTTCACATAAAAGATAAGTTCATTTGCTTGAATATGAATACTTCTGGTTCCTTAGAATTAATAAAACTATCATCGATGTTCCATTTCTCTTTAGTGCCAGATTCGATTCTGAAACTTGTAGGTAATAATAGCTAACTTTAGAGGAAGTTTCTCAAAAAGTTTGAAAATTCTTTCATTGAACTATCAACTGAATTATTGATCTTCAAAGGATAGTACTGTTTCTTTCCAGAATTATGAGGTTGGCAACATAAATAGATGTCATTCATCATAAATTCCTTTGTAATTAAGCAATCACAGCTTCACAATGCCAATGATCTACATTCTTGGTAAGGACGTGTACACAAGTTTTCAGACCTTTAGCACATACAATGACCGAGATTGGCTAGGGCAAAAGACTTTTGCCTGTCACTATATGTTGATCATAAATAGTCTATTGTATCATTTGATTTCACCAATCTAGTAGCATATATGTGCAATCGAATATCTATTTATTTATTTATTTTTACACAAATTTATTACAAGAAAAAGATACATATACTTTTAATAGTATAATAAATATTGTTTTGTTCGGCAGATATTATGTGCTAGAGTTATTTCTAGAAATTTGTCTTATCCATGTTATTGTCTTTATCATTATTATTTGCTTCTGATGAATTTGCAAACGTTGGATTATTATAAGTAGTAGGTGGTATATGATTTGGTGGACGTATAACGATACCATTAGGTGTACCTGTACCACACTCCGTGTCAGTAGATACCAACGTTTGCATAGCAGTATCCGTACCATTTATATTAGCGTCTGCATCAAGTTCTTTACGTGATAAATGTTCTACAATAGCACAACCAATCGAATCACCAAATACGTTAATTGCTGTACGAAATCGATCACTACAAATGATAAAAGAAAAAAGATTTATCAACACAGTCAGATTCTGATAATAAAAAAGATAAATATTTTTTTAATAAACCTACAGAAGCCAATCAACAGCATAGATAGTTTTAACTTCTTCAGCTGGTAAGCCAAGTGCATTGAGAACAATAACCATAGTTACAAGACCAGCTTGTGGTATACTTGCAGCACCAATCGATGCCAATGTTGCTGTGAAACTAGATAATTAACGGATATACACGTATATATATATACAAAAAGTTGAGTTGATCTTTTTCTACCTCGTTACAATAATTTTCACCGCATCCAATGGAATTCCATTAAGTTGAGCAATATAAATAGCTGCTACTGCTTCATATAATGCTGTTCCATCCATATTTACTGTTGCTCCAACAGGTAAAACAAAACGTGAAACTCTTGGATCAATATGATTTTTTTCTTCTACACATCGAAAGGTTACAGGTAGTGTTGCTGATGAACTAGCTGTTCCAAAAGCTGTTACTAATGCTTGACTCATTCCACGTATATATTTAAAACTATTCATACGTGTAATAACATAAAGAATCAAAGGTAAAATAATAAAACCATGTATAAATAAACCAACTAAAACTGTCGCCATATAAAGACCTAATGAACCAAGAAAATCTCTCAAATCATCCATGTCAAGTATTTTTGCAGTAATAAGGAAAAAAATACCAATAGGACTATATAACATAGCAATACGTACAAGTAGCATAACAACTGCAAGCATTGCTTCAAAAAAATCTCTTAAAATTTTTGCTTTTTCTTTTAAACGACTAATAAGTATACCGAATACTATACAAAAAAGAAGTAAACCAAGTACATTAATACCATCACGTTTTACTACTGTTGCTTTATAAATTGTTTTGTATTCATCTAAATTTGTTTAAAAATTAATGAAATTTATTATAATTAAAAATCTAAAATGCTATTACTTGTTGCATTAGGACCAGAAATTAATGTTCTATTTACTTTAAGATCAGTAGCAAACTAATCAATAGAAGTAATATTATTAATTATTATGTTTTTTTTATGAAAAATACTTACTGAACGAAATGTAGCTTCCATAATATTGTCAGGAAATAGATTTCTAAGTATCATTGTAAGAAAAAAAATGTATTTGTGTTTTTTTGTTGTGTTATTATGTATTTTTACCTGAATAAATCTAATACTGTGTCAACTGTTCGACCTTCAGCTGTTTTTGAATCAGGTTTAATCTGTACTGTACCACCACGTAATCCCGGTCGTATACTTAATACAAGAATAATACCAATAATAGCTGCAATCAATGTCGTCGCTAAATAATATACCAATGCTCGAACACCCATTTTTCCTGCAGCTTGTGCATCAAGTTGAGCTAATGATGTAATAATACTTGATACAATTAATGGAAGTATAAGCATTTTAAGTATATTTATAAATATTTGTCCAGGAAAATCGATGTAAGTTATTTCTTCTTTGGTAATACGACATCCATTAATTCGCTCGCCTATAATCAAATATAGTTTTTTCGTATTATAGGGAAATTAGATTTTTAAGTTCTTTCCTTTTATTGAAAACTTCATGATATTCTCAATTTAGAAACAAAAAACGTTTTAGTCGTTTTACCTGTAGAACATTTAAGATTTCTAAGTACAACTCCGATAATAATACCAAGTATAACAGCAGCAATAGTTGTCATTAATAAAGCTTGTTCTTTTAGAGTTTTTTTTGTACAACATCGCCGACAACAATTGACTTTTCTAGTGATTGTCACACGTTCATCTATCGGAACACCAACACTTTGATGTGACAATTTGCTATACGTAGAAATCGGACGTGATTCACGTTCTTCTTGTATATTTTTATTAGATGTGATCACCGTTGGCACTGTTGGTGTTACTTTTTTCTTGAAGAACCACATGAATTACTACAAAAATCAAATATTTAACATGGTTGTGATGAAGGAAGAGCAATTAGTGTGTACAAGTTTTAGATTTGTTTTACCTTGATGTTTTAAAAAGGATATAATTATATATTTAGTTATAGACATGTAAATGGTCCAAATTTAAATACTATTTTATAATAAAGGTCAATAATATCTATATTGACAGACGAGGAAAAAGGATTAAATAGGATGAATAAGTATACAGAAGATGATTTATTTCCGAGAATAGTAAGAACGAAAGAAAAAGAGCATACGAAAATATACTCTTGACAGAAGTAAATCCTTATCATTATACGTCTTCTTAAACTTCAATGATTGGCTCAGACATCTTATTCTTATCATACTTTTTACTCTAACCTGATGTCATATTTTTTTGCGTCATCTACTTTTTAAAAGCATCGTTTGTGTAAATTCATGAAAATAATACGAAATCACAAGTGAAATTCATTTATTACTTTATGTGAGTAGAATTCTTTTCTTTTTTTTTGTTATTTGATAACAACAACAAATTTATTATATTTTATTTCTTTTTACGACAGGAGATAAAGTTATATTAACAAACGTTCTAGATGAAATTAGCGTAAAATAAGTTTTGATATCCTCAAGCAATATTCTTTACTCACATATTTCCATACCCATGGAGATTGATATTCATAGAACATGTGTTAGATGTCGAAATCAGAGCTGCTAGTCTAGATCTTACACTTTGGATATCAAATATTGATGCATCACCTTACTAGTCGAGAGTAATTTGATAAATTCATTCGATTCCAGCAACAAATACTTAAATCGAACGTCAATTTAGTGCTATAGGACTTGCATTAACTGACAGGAGAACGTATTTAGATTCAAAACAATTAGATGGTGAATCTTGCGCTCGTGCTGCTACGAAAATTGATTCTCAAATGTAAATGTTCTTGCTTGTTATTATAAGTATCGCTGATTCCCTACATTTTCGTTAACCTTTACCTTGTAGATCTAATCAAATGTCGTTTGTGCTATCATGATCATGTTTTTTTCGATTTTTCAAAATAGAACGAATGTGATCAAAAACATTCTGCCAATTCAAGCCATTCTTGTATGGAAAAATTTTTACATCGTCTCTTTATTTTTATTGGCTACTTCGTACAACTTTCTATTATTGTCTTATTTGTATGAAAATAAATTAAGTAAACAACTGAAACTAGAATGATACCTTGATGCACAGTTCTGGAATTAAATGAATTTAAAAAATCAAATATATCTATCGATCTGCAGGCATTCCGAAGTAGAAAAAAAGTAACCGGTTGGAAGTTCTGGCTGAGATCGACTCTATTAGAATTTTAGCTTTATGAGTATTATATGTCACATAAGTACCATTAAGTATAAAAAAGTTCTTGAGAAATCTACTCATTTTCTTATCGTAAGATTTTATAAGATACTTTATGAATAATAAATAAGAAAATCTTGTGAAATTTTCTCTCGCTTTTCATTGGGACTTCTTAGTGCAATTTGTAGACTTCAGCGAACTATGTCTACGACAAAAAGTGTTCGTTCTTAAGACGTGTGTTTGAGGAGGTCGAATAGTTGTAGTGAATTTTCACTATACAATCCCATATTTGCCGCAAGACCAGTTCTTCGAATTTCGATTTGAAACTTTACCTACACAGATTGTTTGCTATGAGAAGATCGATAAAATTAAATTTCTTGTAAGAAAAATATGCTATGAATATCGATTATTAGATCTAAATGGTCGCTTTTAAACAGTCATTGAGTTATTTTTATTTGTTTATAAAAAAAATAACTGAAATTTAATTTTGAAAAAAGCAATTGTTAACGGACTCGTTCTGTCGTAATCAGAATCATTTTGCTCTTCATAAAATTTATTCGAATTATTTATTGTTTCTGCATGTTAGTTTCACGAGAGAAAAAAAAATGTTGAACAATTTTTTTTCTATTTATAATAGTGTAGACAAACACAAGAGTACTTTACAGAAAAGTAAAAGTTTACTCGTATTAAACAATTAATTTAACGAATATAGATTTTTCTATTTTTGTTGAATTTTCAAACAATTCAAAAACCTTTGTGTTTTTGACGTCAATTCTATACATTTAGTGCATGTACAATGAATATCTATATTTATCGATAGAGAAACATGTGAAGAGCAATCATTACTCGAGAAAATCAAAACTTATTGTAGACTCTTCATTCAACAAACTCAACAGTTTGTAAACATTTAAACTGTATCAAATTTAATTTGTCTAAGATTTTAGTTAAATATCACATTTACAGTTTTGAATATTTGTATAAAAAATTTCTCGTCTTTCGAAAGTTTAACTTCAATCTATAGTGTAGTGTTCATTAATTTCGCATTAATTAGATTGATCTTTTATGCGAAAAAAAAAATCTTATAATTCTTTATATTTTATAGTAAAGATATCAAGCAAATCAAAATCGATTTTCAAATAATGACATTATAGGTTTAAATCACGGATTTTTTTTTTATTGGAAATAAATAACAATCCAACGTATATTATAACAAACTCTGTCGCGTACATCACAACAATCATAAAAGACAATTTATTATCATTTAGCTGAAATCATCCAGCTACTATCAAACCGTGCAGCATATCACAAAAAAGAACTTTTCGTTATTTTTATGGCAGAATTTCATCCATTAACACTATATATTAAATAAACAGAAAATATATATTCAACTCCATAAAAATATTCAAAATAGTACAATGAAAACTTGCTTTGTATTTCTGTCACTAAATGCTACGAATGAATTCGTAAAACACGCATATTTTGGAAGTTGCATATCTCAGTGCGACCTTTATCCAAGCAAAATTTTCAAGTCAAAAATCGACAATAGGATTTTATTGAAAAATTAGATTCATACAGAGAAAAGTCAATATCTCGGTCAAATCTCAATGTCAGCACGAACCTTTTGAAGTCTATTCTAATCTATAGATCATTTACCATCTCTAGTGAAAGACACAATATTCTTTAACACTATAAATTGAAAAATCTTCAGCGAAACGTATGTGTTAATATTACTTTCATTATATGAAATACTACGACTCATTATCATCGATGATTTAAGACGCATGTTGCTATGATAACTGATATATTGTTGACAGCATTTGAATGACAGTCATATTTCATTATTATTTGTTTATCTTTTTTAAACAGCTGGATTCCATCTTTCATTTTTTTATCTATCTTCTTCTATAATTATTATGTGATTAAAATGTTTGATTTATAAATAATTCTGATGCAGTATTCTTCGTCGCCATTTTATTCTTCTTACCATTACAACACTTAAAAAAAAGAAAATAGATGTCGTTAATGATAAAAAATAATATTTACTGATTAACTTGAATAAAAGCTAATAATAAATGATAAACAAGAAAAAAATAATAATAAAAAAAAAATAATCATCATAGGCTACACCAATAATATTTCGAGATGAATCATTTTGACCTAACTAGATATTCTATCCTTTGAGATTTGCATGTTGATATTTAATTAAATTTTTATATTAAATACTTTCTTCAATAATCATGTCTAATACAGAATTATTATCAGATCAAGCGACACAAAAAGTTGATGATTTACCATGTTCAATTACAGAAAATGTTACTTCGTCATCTGATCAACAAGAATCAGCATTGATAAACAACCAGTCAAATTCGTGTTTCAAAGATATGTCTGATGTTGATTCACAAGTAAAAGAATCCATATCAGAATCTGATATAAAACCGCCTAAAGATAATGATTTTCATTTAATTAAATGGATTGATTTTAATTTTGAACAATTACCAATACTTTTACAAAATGTTAATGGTTCTTGTCCTCTTCTTGCTATTTTTAATATTCTTTTACTTAGAAAACGAGTAAAACAAAAAATATATTATTAATACAAAAATAAAAAATTTCTAAATTAATTATTTAATATAGATTATTCTTGATCCAAACAGAGATGTCATAAGTACAGAACGAGTTGTAACATTACTTGCTGAATACATTCTCGAACATGATCAATCGGTAAATAACCTTATTTTTTTAATTTATCAAGATTTTTGTTGATTTTTTTTTCTAGAAATTATCTGACGAAGATCGAATTAATTATGAACACAATGTTCAAGATGCACTTGCTGTACTTGATAAACTTAAAACAGGATTAGATGTTAATTTGAAATTCGATGGGTAAAAAGGAAAATAAAAGAAATCTTTTTTTTTATGTATTGCTTTTGTTTTCTTGTTCTTTTTTAGTGTAGATAAATTTGAATATACACGTGAATGTATTATATTTGATTTACTTAATATTCAATTATTTCATGGATGGGTTATTGATCCACAAGATACAGAATTACGGACGATTGTAACTGCAGATGCACCAAGTTATAATCAATTAGTTGAAAAAATGATTCGACAACGACATTCCGAGAGAGAAGAACTTGTTCGAGAAAGTAAAAAAAAAAAATTTTCAAAATAGTTAAATGTCTTGATTGACTCTGATATGATAAACCTTTCAATAACTTTTTTTCTTTTCAAATTCTTAGATCTGACTGTAGTTTTTTTCAGAAGATGCATCGTCTAATTCTTTATGAAAACTTAATCAGAATTTATTACTATAGAAAGTTCTGGAGTGAAATCACACGAAGAATATTCAACGAGAACGATCACACTTTGACGTGCTCAAAAAATATTTTCATTTTTGTTTCGTTGTCTATAGAATTGTTTAAAATATTTTGAAGTTTTCAAAACAAAATAACTATGAAACTTCATTGATTTCTACATACTCACTATTCTTCGTTTGATTGCTATCCTTTATTTCCTATAGTAATAAGCCTGATTAGAGAAGTTCATTAACGATACATTATTAAATTTTTATTTTAAAGGTTTATTAATTGAACAATTTCTCGATGAAAATCGTTCTCAATTAACACATTATGGTATTCTTCAATTAAATCAAACAATGCGTGATAATCAATTAGCTGTTTTTTTTCGTAATAATCATTTTAGTACAATATGGAAAAACCAAGTAATTGACAAAAAAATTTCAATATCTTGAGTTGGTTTTAATCAATTGGGATGCATTTTTTTTTTGTCAGTGATAGTGCGTTTGGTAAAGTTTTTATTCATAAAGCAACTGTCAAACAGATACTGTTCTTAAATAGGATTCTTTACCTCAATGAAAAAATACACAATTGGTCAAAAGTATTTCAACCATTCTTAGGATTAGACATGCAAAATTTATAACGTGTATATACTACCTTAAAAATGTAAGTCATTGAGTTTAACTGACCCTTGTTCGCTTCAGTTGAAGACGACTTATATAGTCTATTACAATTCTTCTCATTGTAGATTCTCTAACTAATCGAATTTCGTATAAACATTCAAAAGCAGTGGATATTCGATATAATGATAGGTTAATCAGATCGGCAGCTCCTTTTCTTGTTGAGTGACAGAAGTTATTGTGATAAGAGCTATCAAACATTAGAGAATTCATTGGCGATCCTCTTATGAATAAAAACTTTGAAGAGTTCTCTATCATTGAAGAAAAAAACTATCTAGATTGATTAAAGTAGACTGGAGATATATGAGTGTTATTTATAGATCACTCTATATAATGATTTTATTTGTTTTTTTTTTTTTTTTTTTGAGAATCAACTTCTTGTACTCGTTTCTGATCAAGGTTATTTAGATCATAAATCAATTGTATTTGAAACATTAACTGATATTGATAATGATAGTTTATTTACTGATGGTTATGGACGAATATGGCGAAAACCAGAATTAGTCGATTCTTCTCGAGAGTTTGTCTTAATAGTTTAATAAATTATTTTATTTTATTTTATTTTATATAGTCGTGATCTCGCTATAGCAATACATAATGAAGAAGAACGTTTGTTCCATGAAGCTCAATTACAACAACAACAACAACAACAACAACAGCAGCAACAACAACAACAAACTCTAGTTAATTCTAGTCAATCGTCTGGTTCATCTTTGCGACAATCTAAAAAACCAAAAAATAAACCGAAACGATCATCAGATGACGATGATGATAGAGAATCTTGCAATTTACTTTAATCTCATGTATATATGTGATACAGTTCTCTTTTCTTTTTTTTTTTTTGTTAACTTTTATTCCGATTTTTTTTTCTTCTGTCTAATAACAATATTAAATCAGCTAAATAAAAACAAAAAGTCAAAGAAAGTCACTAATGAAATATACAATAGATATAGAGATATTGTTTTTTGTCTATTCTATTTGCAAAGATATTCAAATTCATTTGGATATATATAATAAGATGATGTTGTTGATGTACGACTATTTGTTGTTGGATAAAGATTAAGTGGAGTATTTAATACCACTGATATATCTGTACATCGAGATTTAGCATCACTTGATGTACTACTAATTGTTGATATACGATTTGATACAGATCGTTTTGCATCAATTGAAACTGAAGATCTAGGTGGTAAAGGTACTTCAATAATAGACATTTCCTTTTGACGTTTATTATAACGTATTGATGTTAAACATAGATAAATAATGACAAAAAGAAGTAAAATAATAGCAAGAAATATACCAATAGTACATGTTTGTATAAAAAACCATTTTTCACTAAATAAATCATTTGCAGTACGAATTGTATAAGAATCTAAATCATCAAATGATTGATATGGAGTTGAAGATGATGATGATGAAGACGATAAATGCAATGTTGAAGATGGAATACAACAGTAACGATCAGTATCTGGGCCACAGCAAATACGAGGTAATGAACAATCGAAACCTACAAATAGAAAATTAAAAAAAAACTTAAAGAATCGACTATAGAATTGAAATATGAAAAGTAGGCTCATCCTGTATATACTTAACATAACTAATTAGTTATAATGAAACTATTTTTAGATGTCTATTTTGATATGTAGACCAGAGTTCATGCAACGTTTTATGTAAGAATACGATACAGAGCATTTGTTAGTCAAATATCTTGAATTAAAATGAATCTCACTTAAAAAAAAAAGAAACTTCTAGACTTTAGTTATATTCTAACGAAAACTTTGCTGTGCAAAACAAAAATATTATTTAGTATAATTCACTATGTTTATATTTAAAGATAATCTAAAGTGAGAAACTTGAGAAGATAAATTCAAATAATAAAACAAATATTGAATACCATTATTCCATATTCCATATCGATCAAGAAAACCAGGACACGATGTACTCATGTTATTGAAATTAAAAGTATATAAATGGTTCTTGTCTTATTGTCGTCAACGTGTTGTCTCTGTCATCAGACAAGAAATGACCGTCTTAGTAGTAGAAGCGAAGATGTTCGTTCTTGCTTATTCTATCAAATCAGATAAGTGAAAGGAAAAAGCATCATCTTCTCTGAAGAGAACGAGAAGAAAAAAGATTAATCATGAGTTTGTGTGAGTAATACAGACGATAATATCATTCAATTGAGGCGCGAGACTGAACAAAAGTTGATTCCATCTGGCAGAATAGATAATTGATGGGCTGGGACACATGTAGATAGACAAGAAAAGAGCATTTCACTGTTTATAGAATCATCATATAAAAAAAAGACAGACATGTCAGTTTACATTTTTCAATTAGACACCAACGAAGACCAGGCAAACATACCACACAATTCATGTTATGGATCATCACCATGATAGACAGATGATTGATTCACATACAAGAACTACTGATATATATCGATATCAATAAGATGTAGCTTAGTAAATCTTTAGACTTTTTCTTTCATTAATACAATTATTCTATTGAGTATATCATTTCTATTCATCTATCAATGTTTATATAACTATCACTTTTCTCACATCATCTCCTGTGTAATATATGAATAACAAAAGTAATTTATGTATTCTTATGTCTCGTCTTTTCTTTCTCGTTTATGTAAGTTAACACTGCTGTTATTATTTATTTATTGTACAATACTCATGATTATATCAGTCGGCTGTTATCTTACAACATTACAATTACTAAGGAATTCTTTTGACACAACATTCATTATTTTCACAGACATAGATATATATATATATGTATACAGAATTAATCATAGAGTTAAAACATCAAGTTTTGTTGATATTCACATGATATCACAACCGAACTATTCTTCCAACAAAAAGAACTTATGTTTCTCGGAAAAAACACAACAACATACCTCTTCTGCATTTCTTTCGTTATGATTACGAAAATATCCCATGAATAGCTATTTTTTTAAGCATGTTTACTTGTTCTTTCTGTGTCGTGTCATAAAAAAGAAAAGGAAAGAAACAACAACACTTTTCTTTTACATTTTACTTATCGAGCAAAGTTAAGCAAAGGTAGTCGATTGTGAATTATGTTTTTTTTTCTTGTTTTGATGTATAATTTTTCTTTTTTAGAAAAAAATATGTCTGATGAAAAAGTACAATGGTTTTGGGATGCAAATCCAAGTCCATTTGGTAAAGATCAATCACATATATGGACTGCATATAGTGCAGAAGATAATAAAATAATTGAAGAACGTTTTGGAAGTAAAGCTGTAAAAGCTGAACTTAAAAATCATTATGTATACTTTAGTGAACGTATGCAAGTACATAAACAAGATTTTCATAAACAAAGACCAGTTAAACGTGAACCACATAAATAAAATATTATCATAGATATTTTTTTTTCTTTTTTTTTTTTTTGCAAATGTATTATTTTACATTTCATCTGTTTAAAAAAAACCTGTTTTTGTTAAGTGTTTTTGTAAAAAAAAGATCATGAATTATATATTCAATACGATAATCAATGCATTATATGATTTTAACAGTATGAAATCATAAAAATAATTATCTATTGAATGATAAGAATTTAATAAAATAATTTTCAACATAATTTATGTATATTTTTCATTGTTTTATGTGTCTATCAATTAAAATGGAACATATATTGAAAAAAAAAAAACACAAAACGAGATCAACATATTTGTATTTATAAAAAAAGATTATATTTTATGATAATGGGAACTATTATATATATATACTGACCGATATAAAATTATATAGTTAATGCTGTGGGTATTATTGCGTCACAATCGAATTTATTGACATTTTCATCTGATACATCAACGAAGACAGATAAATAATTTATATGTTTTTTTTTCTTCTGACAACAGTTTAATATAATACACGTAAGAATCATTTGGTCAATGATCACTGTGGGAAAGAATATGAACGTTTAGTTAAGCGGAAAAGAGCAATTATTTTCCATAATGTGTTGACTGATAATCTACTTATTTTGAACAGTTGAATGAATCAAAGTAACATAATCTAAATGTACCATCACAGATTAAACTAGTGAAAATTTTCATTAAGTTTTCATGAATGCGAACATGATGTTCGTTTGTTTTGTAAAACTTTAGAAAACTCAATATTTATACATTTTCTTTGTCTAATAGTTTCTAGTCTTCAAATATCTTCTTACATAATATACAACCAACAACAATATGCTTTGGAATCATATTTTTTTATGTATGCTACAATCAAAATACTCGAAAATATAAAATACTGCTCAGCAACAGCTAGGAATAGCTGAAGATTTCGTGTATTCTGGTCCTAAAGCTATAATTTATCGAGTAAGTTTGTACTAAAGTGATCAGCACAACAAATTCTAAGAACGGAAAATCTTCTGAGAATCTTCTGTTGTTTTTTGCGGTTGATTACCCATGAAAGTATCAATTAAAGACATAATTCACAAGCATTTTCTTGTTGATATACAGATAATAATGCTAACACTCAAAGTATATAATAATATCTTTTATTTAAAATTTTCTATGACTCTTCTATTTATTTATTTATTATGAATATAACAGTTGCAAACTTCATATCAATTTTCAATATTAACATCAAATTAATTTCGATACGTCATTATGGAGCAAAGATTTCTTACGCAAAATTGACTTTACTAATCGTGCGAATCATAATTTACAAAGTAGTTTCAATAAAAATTAAATATATCTTACTATTTTCTCTGAGAAATAAATTTAGATATCTTAAAAACGTCCAATGATAAAGTCTCGTATGCATATTTTGCACTACTTTGCAATAATCATAACTTTCGGTAAAAAAAAATAATTCTCTAATTTCTTTATTCAAAAAGTAACTATGTGATACGTATGAAACTGTCTAACAGACTAATATCATTGATATTTTGGAAACAATAGTGGTCCGAACCTTCAAGTTTTGAGAGGAAATGTAAAAAAGGTTTCCCTATTCTTAACAACTTTTGTAACTCGACATGGCTACTCTCGTAGCCAATGTTCAATAACAAAGCTCTTTAAACGAAAAAGATATTACCATATTTCTACAAACCATTTATAGCTTGTACGAGAAAAATTCCATTTAATTTTGTATTTTTTGCAAAAAAAGTTAGCAAACTTGTACTGGATGTTTGTCTTTGAATCTTTTCACTGACAAGAATCCAAATTATTGATTGGAGAGGTCTGCTCGCAACATGCTTGAACCACTACTACTGTTTGGAAGATATGAAATATCAAAAGAGTTCAACATAAAACTTAATTTTACAAATTAAATATTACAACATGATTTATCTGATGATCTCTATAAGACTATTTTTAACTAATTAGTTCGTTCGATAGAATATGAATTCAAACTCAATGAAATACAATGGAGGATAGAAATCATTATAAAATAACTGCAGAGCCAATATTCCCAAGACTGTGAGAGTAAGGTCTAGAAATGTGAATTGTGTTTGTCTATCTTTTTGTTAGTAACATAGTAATCATATATTGATTATAGTACAAATGATGACTATGGAGGATAATAAAAAATGGCACCTATTCATTAGTATTGAAATTAATCGAAAAGTAGTATCCAAGAATGAAGTATACGAAAGCTGTCCAGACTCCGAATTTCAAAGATACCCGACCAGTTTATGGTCGTTTACAAGTATAGTTTTTCAACTTGGGATACTTTTAGAAGTGATGATTATTGTTATTAAATTATTGAATGATTCGATCGATTGTTCAATGCTGTATACGTGAAGATGTGATAGTATAATTATTAAGAGTTACAGAGTGAATCTGAACATATGATTATGATAAACTAAAATATAAAGAGTGTTTCTGAAGTTCTGAAATGATGTTTAAAATTTATCGTTCTTGTATTAAACAAAAGCAAACTCTTTGAAACTTTAGTAGATTATTGTATCTATTTACTACGTAATAATTACAAAATTTGAGATCTATAGCTTTAAGTGTGAATGACAATTTGTAGCAACATTATCATGTACTGTTTTTTCAATTTTCTAATATCAATTGAATTAAACCAAAGAATCGTACTGCAAAACTAACCGACGCTTGATCAATAGGAAATATGTAAGGTGCATTCAAAGAAGAATTATGACGCCAGAAATACAATAATATTAAACGATTGACAAACAGTGTTAAAAAAGGAATGTAATAAATTTAGTGTTGTTTTACATAAACGATTATTATATGGATCGTTTTATTTAGAAAAGTTCGATTGTTTTAAAAATAATTGTCAAGATAATAGAAAAAATAGTATATCAGAGTGTTTTTACAGATTGTCATCCATAGTAAAAGCTCTTGACATCAAACTTTATAGATGTTTAGTATTAAGTTGGTACAATAATCTGTCAAAATATCAAAGAACTGACTTTTGTTGAATGTAGACACGATGAATTTTCTTCGTCTCATAATGTTTGAGATATATTCATATTTTTTACCTTTAGAACATATCATTTATTTTTCTATTTCAAGTTATAATAACAATAAGCGAAAAAATTTTATCTCAAATCTTTTCTTAAATATCTTTAAAAGTTTAATTCTCATACAAAAATTATTTTTATCGAATTTCTGAATCAAACCTGTTTCTTCGCTTTCGAAAAGAAAGAAAATTATTTTTATCACATAAAACTTTATGAAGCTCCATAAAATCAAAAAGAATGGCGCAAAACTTCACTGTTTTTTTTTGTGCTACATTTATTCAAAGTAAACAGAAAAGTTCGTTCTAACAGTACATACATATTCAGATCAAAAAAACTATATCAATAACTTTACATAGTTTAAAATAAAATATAATTGAATCAAAATTCATAAAAACGACTAACAATGATTTTTCAATGATAATAAATTACAAAACTAAATTTAAGAATTTAGAAAACACTAAGGAAGACAAAACTGTTGTACACATTAGTAGTATAAACAAGAGATTGATTAGTGGCAGAACTGCACCCATTCTTGGCTATGTTACTAGTCTACATCATATAAAATGTTAAATTTACTTCATATGTATATATGTATATACTAATTCATAGAAAATATCGAATCTTGAGTGTATCAATTGCATTTCAACATCAACCTATAATTGTTCTCTCATATAAGTAAACATTGATTTTTTTTTGTTAATGTGCTACAAAATAAATGTAATTAATAAATATGAAATCAATTGAAACATAGATTCTTCCTTCTTATAATCATGGATACCTGTAATATGCGTGCATGAACAAGTAAAAAAGAACTTCATGACAAGCATCATCAATGTATGCATACTTCATATTAAAGCCAATCAAGTGTTCATCATCTTTCGATCATCAACATCATCATCATCATCGTTATTTCCATTTCGTCACATAATGAATATTGCACAAGGAAAGAATAGAAATAAGTCTATTATTCTTTTGTGTTTTTTTTTTCACCACCATTTTCAATATATACACAAGAGAGAAAACTGATTAAAACAAAATCATCATATTGTATTAGTGTGTTTACAGGTGTGTATTTGTTGAATAAATGAAATTGAATTATCAATCGCTTCATTCGCATTCTGTCTCTCTCTCTCTCTCTCCCTCCTATTTTCTTACAATTAAACTGAAGAAAAAAAAAGAGAAAAGCTATTGACTTTCTAAGACTTCTCTTCGTCGGCTAGGATCGATTGAAACAAAACAATCATCACACTTATTTGCATTTCTTTCCATTGACTGTATTGTATATTTATATATATATATATGAGCTTGTACGAGAATAGAAGAATAAAAAGACAAGCAAAAAAAAAAAAAAGATTCAAAAAAAGAAAAAGAAAGAATTTACACAGATTTGTTCGGGCTAGTAATTGTAGACGATGATGATTCAGATGATGATTTATTTGGATCAATTGATGATCGTTGTTGAAGAGCATATAGTGCATCAGCAGCAGATGGTGTTAAATAAGGTGAATACCATAGAGAATGATGTAGATTACCAACACCGGTAGCAGCATGATGATGTTGAAGTAATCGATGAACAGCAGCAATATTACCTTGCTGTTCAAGAAATTCTAAACTTACAGCAGCTTGTCGTTTCCATTTCGTTCTAAAAATAATTAAAATTGAATTGTTTTTCTTTTTGAATATTATGATAACTAACCTTCGATTTTGATACCATGTTTTAACTTGTGTATCCGATAAACTGAGACGAGTAGCAAGTTCCATACGATCTTGTACACTAAGATATTTTTGTCGTTCAAAACTTTTTTCTAAACAATTTAATTGTTGATCTGTAAATGCTGTACGTGCTTTACGTGGCTTCTTATTTGTTTTTAATGTACTATTATTCATAACATGACCACCACCACTATCCGATGTACT